AAACAGACAACTGAGTTTACTGACTCACTTTCAAGAGGCACGTCCAAAGCCCAAACACTCTGCCACAGAAACAGCAGCAGCCCTGGTCCAACCAGTGTCCTCATCCTTACAGTTCATTTAGTCCAGTAAGAGTTTAAGGCCTGCAGTTCAAATGTGCTCAAACTAATTAAAGCAAAACATGCAAATTAATCATTCTGTTGAAAAAGCATCTAACAAAGCTTTTACAGGTGAGTAATCCCCAGGACATCAACAGAAATTGTACAATTATGTATGATATGGCAAAAAGAACAGATTTTTTTTCTTTACAAGGACACTAACTAAGAATATTTCACTTATTTTATAAAGTAGCAACATTGCTACAATCAAAATTATATTTAAACATACCTTTAAATGTGATTTAAAGGTAGTTTTAGTCATGAGAGTTATGAGAGTTTTGCTATTGCTGTTAATTCTGTATCTATAACTGATAATTCAAAGGACAGAAAATAGACATATAAGTATTTAATTATTTTGGATTTCAGTAAATTGCTCCAGTAACAAGTTCAGCTAAGATAAAATTATATACAGATGAAATAAATGAATGTTTAAATGAACAAATAATAAACAATGCAAAAAACTACCTGACAATAAAACAAGCGACAACAGATAATGACAAATGTCAAATTACAAGTGATTGCCAGTTTTCTCTTTAAAGTCAGTGAAGGTCAGTTAGATATTTTCCCACTGAATAGGTTGTTAAAGATGTAAAGTAAAACATAACAAACGTGTCATAATTATTATAAAGGAACCTTATTCAAATATTGTTCTGACTGAACAGAGATGATCATGAATTTAAGTTCCTGGTCTTTACATGACAGATTCAGAGGTGCCTGAAATGCACAAAGCTTGGGAAAAAAAATTGAAAAGAATATCTTCCATGATTAAAGTATTGAAAGGATTTAATTATAAGTCTCTTTAAATGCATTTTTCTATAAATATGTAATGAATCCAACATCGTCTTAGTTTGTCAAGAACAAAAGTTATGCAAACCTACCTTACTCCTGTAAACTTAAATTACTGATCTCTCCTCCCCATCACCATGGCCTTCTCCAGGCATAAATAATTCAATTACTTTTTCCCAGGAAATTATTCTTCTTTTGCACTACAGCAATTAATGCCCCAGTCCTTCAAATATCAGGTCAAGAACCCTGGAACGAGCAGAAACACATCAGTAATTGAGTTTCTGTCCGTCACTGCCACTTACACTCTTCCCACCCATTTCATGAATAATGAATGACTCCATTCAACTCCTACACTTCACCCACTCTACCGTTCAGGTCAAGCTCTCGAAAGTTACTAACATCTTCATTAAATACAGACAGAGTTTTATATAAACTTTCAGCAAATAAATGTGCAAATGCAGCCTAAGAATTTCTACTTTTCTTCAGAGTAGTTACTTTTTCTCAAACAAACAGAACTTTAGACAAAATGAAAGCACAAAGCAACTTCAGCTCGACACTGTTTGCATTCTCGGTGGTTCTGACGACGTCAAAATGTGGGCTAAAGCAATGCGCTGCACATTATGAATGAATTGTTTGTTTCTGTCGCATGAATTTTACATTGCTCAAGCCACATGATGTCCTGAGGGCAGCAACGTTTTTCCAAAGTTATGAAATTTACTTTAGGTTTATATTTGAGTTGTTTGGACTCTATTAAAACCATTGATTTGTCTTAAGAAATAATTTCTAAAAGTAGATATGGAAAATATGGAAGATAAAAAAGGGGGTTGCTAACCTTTGTTTGGTATGTTTTATTTTCTAGAAAGAATGGCAGATTGTCCACAGTATCCTGACCTGTGTGGGGTACCAAAAATGTAAGAGTGGTCAAAAGACCAAGAGTTACTGGGCTGAACAAAAGCAAGGCAGAGAGTTAGAGTATAATCAGAATCAACAATAATTAATAATTACGAGGATAGATATATTTATGTCTCTGCAGTTCTGTGGCCTAGTCTACATAAATATCCAAAACACAACACCAGCTGCCTCACATTGAACAGAAAAGCAGAAAGAGCTGTGATGAGCTGCTTGGCTCTCAGAATGAGCTTTTCTGCCCATACATTGGACTGTGGTAGGCCTGTAAGTGAGCAGCGATCAGTGCCATGCACCAGATTGCACAGTGAAGAGGCACAGGGGCGCGTGGGACCGGCTCAGTGACGACAATAAGGCTCTCTATGCCCGTGGGTCTCCTCTGGCACGAGTGCCCAGGGCTCCTGTGAGAGCAGATGGCATGTGTGAGGGGATGTTAAACCAAAACAGGCTCCCCGTTCAGCCTCAAAGCCGCTATCACTGACACTTTGACGTCACTGCATCAGGACGAGAGCATGAAGATGGAGGAAAAAAACACTGCTGAGCAAGACGCTGCAAAATTACATCATCACTACTGTGCATTAAGGACATGACGGTCTCACAATCAGCAGAGGCAAAACCCTATTCTAAAGCTACTTAAAATATATATATATATTATGTTTGTTGTAATTTGTCTATTAGCAGCTAACATTGGCTGAAGAACTTTTGATGAACTCTTACTTTTTTCATTATGGCTTTTTCGGGCACCTAGTTTATTTAGCGTTTTAATTGGTTTGAGGTAATGGGAAATTGCATCATGTTGATTTTGATTACCCTTTCCCCCCCCCAAATGTCAGTTAGACAAATTGCCTCATATGTTAAATATATGGTGAAAGTTTATGGACTACTTATTATATGCAAGATGCCAAGGTCCTGCAAAAAAAAAAAAAAATCAAAATCATCTCCCTCCCAAGCCTTACATATTGGAACATGATTCAATTATCGTCTGGATCACAACTTTTCATTGCTCCTCTATATTTTGCAACTGTAATACTTTTTTTTTGCTTGCTTCTTGTGTTGTTGTCATTATGTAACACACTTTGAACTTCCTTCTGTGCTGCTCTTATGTCCTAGGAAAGCAAATTTTCTTTCCCCCATGATTGTCAGAAAAATTGTATAATGAAATATATTTTTATTGTGCTTCTTAAAATAACTTTCTTCACTTTTACTTAATATCTTCAGATTATTTGGATGATTAATAGAAATGTAAAACAGAAACACTTAACTAGCCCCCCTGCTGTCGTGAGATACTTCATATCAAAATGATTTAGAACATTGTTTTAAAAAGAGCATAAAGGGAGTAAAAATATACGCCCCTTGTTTTTTTCTAATATAATTAATACACCATTTTATCACATACTGAATACATCATTTAAACCTAGCAAAAACATTAAACTTGAATCGGGTTACATTTATTCAGTTCATTAACACTTCAGTAGTTTTTAAGTACCTTGAAAGTAAAAATATTAAAGAATTTTCCTTTTATGAGTTTTTTTTTTCTAAGATTGCAAAAGCCTTGCTAGCACGTTATTTGTAGTTACAGTGCTGCGTTCACAATCATAAAAAAAATCTGCCGATGTCCAGCCCCATTTCTCAGATCAGAGTGTGACATCATTTTAATGGCTGCTGAGAAGAGGATTTATTGTAGTGTACATCATGGAACTTTGTATGGTTATATGATTCAATACTCTACATCTCGTAGAGAGAAATGCAAATAATTTGCTTAACAAATTGCAGTTAGTCAATATTAGGAGTTCCTACCTTAATTTTTTTGGTCTCTGTTTACGCTTTTTGCCTTGAAGCACAATGTCTACCTCTTCTTATCTTCACACACTGTCATCTTGCAGAATCTCCAAACTGAGTTTCATCTTTTTACTCAATCTTCTCAAAGCAGGTGACAAGCAGAGAGAAAACAGAGGCTACTATAAACTGTTTGGATAGCTGTTACTGGCTCTGGTCACACGCCTGGCAAACATGGCCTGAGAGGCTGTGATAATAAATCCATTGTGAAATCCACACATGAATATTACGTCATCTCCATTGTGTTGGCAACATGGAGCTAAACAGAGCTGCCATGTCATGCACTAGATGGTAATATAAGCTTTTTAAAATTTAGCAGTCCTCCCATCCAGTGTTTATTGGAATCATCTAAAGTTCTCCTTAAAGTTAACCAAATTTGTCTTCCTCTTATGTGTACGTTCTGTGAGTTTGCTGGGCTGTTATGGACCTTGAAGCTTCACCCTGGCTGTCACGAGCACACTCTCCCCCACAAAGCGTTTCTGTCTGAAACAAAGTCAGATTGTTGTGGACAGGGGGAGCACAGCTTCCAGACACATGTGGTTGCATTTAACCCTTCATATTCATTGGTCAGTGAAACCCTTGCAGTTTTGGACACATATAGTATGCAGACGCTAATGAGGAATTGCATGATATCCATTGTTATTCATTATCTAATAAATTATTGAACAAAGTTTATACATAAAATCAACATAAGAAATGAACAAGAACCATATTACGAAGCCGGATATCGGCTGGCCCGGGTCCTGGCCTTCACCTCAGAGTCCCTCCTTGAAGATGGGGAGCCCACAGGCAGGAGTATTCTGGGTACTTTTTTGAGCCGTGTCATCTGGAAAGAGAAGATGGACTGCAGCAGATTGAGGGTCACAGTTTCCACAAGCTGAATGACGATGATTATAAAAAAGACACAGGGGTTTTAAACCAATACTTTTTGTGAAATAAATGAAAATTACTTCTAAATCGATCATTGGTATGAATTTTTCTATGTAAAAAATAAGACAGCTCTAAAATAATTCTGAACATATTACGTAAATGTAGTTCAGATTACATAAAATGAACCGTTAAAAGAAATCCTTTCTGATGAGAGTTGCTTATTTTGTCTTCAGTGATCTTATTGCAATATAAGATGACTGGCAAGCATCTTAGCTCATTTGTTTGAAACCAATAAAGAAAACACAAAAAGAGAGCAAACAAATGCAATAACACGAGAGAAGGTGTTACCTTATTTGTTTCTTTGATAGTTCGTCTAAACTGAGCACAGCTCTGTGAAATAAATTTCTTGACATTGTACAAACAAGCATCAAAAACGTAAAATTTGTTGTATTTATTCTTTTTATTTATTCCACGCATTCTTTTGCTATTTTCCTGCAACATTTGTAAATGTGCTTCACAGCACTGCACAAACTGACATGTAGAAAAGCTGCAGCTCACCAAATCACGTCAGTGACTTCTTCATTTCCCAAGTCCTCTGACTAATCCAATCCTTGGCTTGGTCGATAGGTGAGCGCTTTTTTTTTAGAACTAAACACAGCTTAGCCACTTTGGATCGATTTGTGTCCAGGTAGTCCTGGGTATCTGTCACAAGCTTATCCAGTGTCTCAGGATGATTCTCATCCAAGGACACGTCAGCATTCATCATGGGGTTGAAGCGGAAGTACACATCTGGGGGCAGCAAATCGCCCAAGAGGGTGTGGACCCCTTCAGTGTCAGTGGCGCTGAAAATCAGGTTATTGATATTGGCTCGAAGGCTCGTGGAAGTGGGAGGGCTCCTCTTGACATTGTCATAACGTCCAGTGCCAAGGGACAGCACGCACTGAAAGGGTGTCCTGGGCCACATCAAACGGCTCTCGTGGACCGCCAAGGTGCAAGGATTGTTCATGATGATTCCTCCGTCCTGCAGTGACAGAGCACAGATTCAGATTTAATTCCACACACATGTTGTGCAGTTTACAAGAGCCAAAGGAAGTCAATCCAACATTATAACTCAGATATCACCTAACTCACTGTTGCATAAATATTACATGTCAATATGTTTATTGACATTCTATAGTGTTTCTTTCTTTTTTTTTTTTCTATAGTTCATTTTGAATGTGGGTGATTATTTATTGAATGTGTGTATAGATTATATAGAATATAGTGTTTCATTGCTGTAGCAATGAACAACTACAACAAAAGAAACTGCTCAGCAATTCCTGACTATATTTATATGATTTAAAATCTATTAAACCTCCGACTTCAGAGTTTGTGTTGCAGTCAAACCTGATCTTAGATCAGAGCTAATAGTAGCAGTCCTGGGAAGATTTAGCAATGCATGTGGATCAAAACTGTGACATTTCTGCGGCTCTTGGCAGGAGTTTTCTCTTACTCCGCATGGCTCTCAATAGTCTTAACCCCTGTAGTGCCAATTTGTTTTGCACAGAATATGGAATCATTCAGGTTGGCAACAGAAGTCAAGACGAACATCGACCAGCCAACCGACGACAAAGTTGGACTTAACTATAATAGATGCAACAAAACTAGTTAGCTCGTTGACAAGCAGAAGTATATCAGCAGCTAGTTATCTTTAGCCTCAATCGCATAGAGTCACAGAATGCAATGAAGATGTCTGCATGTGTCTCAAACTTTTTCTTGACATAAAGTTACAGAAGCAAAAATACCCAAAAACACAGAGTAAATTTTACTCTTGGTCTATTTATAGTCTTAAATAAATAGTCCTGCCAAGACAAAATTTGATACCTGTGACTGACATAAAAAAGATCAAATTATTGTTTTTTAATTCATTTCATCTTGCTTGCATGAATTTAAGGATGCCTGATTATGGGACATGTTTGTGATTAGGTGAAGAATATTTCACATTAATAGTTTTATTGCAGACAACTTTATAACCTGGTGGATGTCATTCTGCAAAAGAAACTCCTGGAAGTATCCAGGTGCGGCTGATGATGCACGCACTGCCTCCCACATCTTGTGGTCTGACCCTCCTGAAAAGCGGCTAGGGTGGCCTGGTTTGTGGCTGTAGTTGCGAAACACATAGGCCTTAGGGCCTGTGCCCCAGTTCACAACTGCACTGACAGCTGAAACCTGAAACATAGGAACAAATCTTTTGTTGCAAAGCTTAACATGGACCAGCTTTAATCGAAATATCACACCTCATAAATTTTGAAAGAAGATATTGTCTTTACCTTTGGAGTGCCCTTCTTTCTGGATGTTTTAATTAGCAGCTCAGAACCCAGCGTCTCCCTTGTTCAAGTAAAATAGGTAACATGTGGGGAGTATAACTTATATCTCATTGTAAATGTTCATTAAGTTTCATTCTAATGCATACAAATAGATTTTGTCAGAGTTCGTACTGTAGTATTCTCTCCCAGGTTGCCGTATCATAGTAGGAATGACTCCATCCCATGTTCACGGTGCCAACCAGCGGGTTTTGCTTGAAAACCTCGGTTCCAATTTGACGGTACATTTCAGCACAATCCTCCAGAGAAACACGGGCCAGCCCCAACATGAAAGCTAAGATGGCTCCTTTTAGCATAAAGAAGCAACGACTTTAAAGTGACACAGATATAAATTAAAACAGAAATATCTTAACATGTCAGACTTAGCTTGCTTTCTTTGTTGTTTTTTAGTTTCTACCTGTGCTCACTCCACAGATGTAGTCAAACAGCTGGTAAATCTTTCTGCCGGTCTCATCTTCGATTATCTTCAATAACTGAAGAGGTACAAGACCTCTGGGAAATGAAAGAACAAAAGCATTTATAGTTTTCCCATTTTATTAGCGAAAACCCCTAAAAACCAAACAAAAATTGAAAATCATGTTTCCTTCTTCAACTTTCTATCATGTTTTGGAGTATTACATAAAACCCCAAAATATTGAAGTTGGTTTCTGTAAAGTGTAGAAATACTTCTAAAAGCAATGTAGTCGTATATAAAAAAGGCATTTTTTATGGTTCGAAAGTAATTTTAAAATAGGAAAAATGACTGGAATAATTGTTATGCAAAGTTTAAATTTTGCATATGCATCTAGAATCAGATTGTTGTGATCAACATTATGCATTGGAAGAACGTGTCTAATTTGTAACAAATGTCTCTCAATACAACCTTGACTGAGATACATGTTTGATTAAATTATGAAACTAAACAGTTTGACAATAATTAATTCTGTAGATATGTGTGTTTTATGATATAGAGAAAACAAACTGATAAGGAAAAGCTCTTGTAGGCGGAGTGAAGCAACTGAATAATTTATGGCAAGACCTTTGGTCACATACTTAATCAGAATGAGGGATTGCTAAATTAAGCTTTAAATCAATTGACCAGCTCCCTTAAAAGGTCATATTTTCTAACAATTAGCATTTACTACTTACTGAGTTTCACTATAATGCATTAAAATCTTAATCTAACTATATGACCAGATTTTAATGGAATGGATCTATTTGTATGAAATTTTGATTGACTTGGATTCTACATAATTAGATATTAATTAGATGCATTTGTGTTGTAGAGTTTATTTAAATTACAGCAAATGTGAACTGACAGTAAATAAGAAGGACTTAAATCAGATTGAAATATATGCTGAAGATGCTGGTTCAAGCATTGACGTTCACTGATTCCTATTTTTTTCTCAGTATTTCCTCAGTGTTCATTTAAAATGGACATTTTCTGCAACATGACTGTCTTGGATAATCTGACACATTATTTTATTTCGATTTACTCCAAGATTAAGTGAAAACAGCTGATCTATAAAATTTTATGAACAGGTATCACCATATTGCAGAATTTTGTTAAAGAAAGCAATTACTGTAGTTCATTTACTTTGTGCACCATAACTTATTAACAGTAAAGTTTCCAATATTTACTAACCTTGTACCTCCACCATCAATGGAGAGAACTCTGATGCCCTGACCTTTGACTGGCTCCACATAACCAATCAGAGCTAAGGCTTCTCTTACAGAGGCCTGCAGTCCTCCATGGTGTTTGTAAGTTCGCCGCACTCTCAACAGGTTGACTATAGTTGGCCCCTGGGGAACAAAAAGCATCTTGGATTTTTATGTATATTTTAAGTTTTTTAAACATTTTTAACCCTGTCTTTGACACAACTGTTCACAAGACCTGCCAGATGAAAGACTTGCATGCTGGGAAGCGGATAAGGTGTTCATTGAGTACTTCTATGCAGGAAGTCATAGCTTCTGGAGTTGAGGATTGTTGTAGTCTCAATATTAACCTAAGTGTGGTCTCCTCTGCTTGTCTGCGGCTCAAGACACACTGAAAATACACAAAGTTTGAAAGCTTTAACAGTCTAAGAAACTCATATGAGGCAAACGACCATACAATCTTTATACTTCTGGAAAGTTTTAAAATATTAGCAGGTAAAAATCACAAACCTCAATGTGTGTTAAAGGGGATTAATGTGATGCAGCAACACAGGTAGGAGATAGTGAAGCTATACAAAATATATGATTTTTATAAATGATGGTATTTTACAAATTAAAAATCTGGAAATAATAGTGTGCAAAACCACGAATATTTAGGTTAGAAGTGAGTGTTGTTGTTTTTTTTTTTTTCCTTTTTTACCAGTACATCAGACTGAAGTTTTTTGCCCATTCTGTAATGTAAAAGTAAACTGCTGATCCCATCTGACCAGAGGAAGTTCTTTTACATGCTGGAAACCTAACCTGGCCAGTTATCTTGGTCAGTTATTATACATACTCTTAGATGATAAATTGAGAGATTATATATATATTCAAAGCTTGTAGTATTGTTTTATATCCTAATCCTGCTTTAGATTTCTCCACAAATGTATCTCCAACCATCTCTGACGTGTTTGTTTCTCTTTTTGATGCGGTTTGTTCTCTAATATTCCTCAACAAACCTCTGAGGCATTCACAGTACAGATGAAAGTAAAATATAATTAAATTAATTAGTGAGATGTCTTCCGAGGTATATTATTGCCCTGAATTTTTTTAGGCCATCAGATTAAAACTATCCCTATCCTTCTTCAAAATAATTAAAGTTGGTTTATTACGCAAAACTCCATCTATTTTATTAGGGTTACTGGTTGTAATGTGACAAAATGTTAACAAATTCAGCATGTATGAACACTATTAAACAGGTAAGAACAACTCACCCTTTTATTTATTATGGTCTCTGGTAAAGTCACAGGAGGATTGACTTCAGTCTCGTGAAAAACTGACCTCAGGATACCTGAGGCAGCAGTAGTGGGATGGAGTAAGATGTCCATCAAAGATGTTTTCTGTATGGATACCGGGTCTGTCTCTGGTTTGACAATTATACTACGGTCCTTCTGTTCACTTTGCGATCTAAAATACTCATTGATATGAGTTGATGTCTGAGAATAGCTGTCTTTTAAGCTATCAGCGTCTGAGGTAGGTTTTGTTGAGAAAGGAAGTTCTTTGTCACTGTGAGCTTCATCTTCATCATTGCTGGCGTCAAAGTATTTATTGATGTGTCCTGCAACGTGAGGGAATGACTCCTCAGAGTCCTTTTTGTGTTGCATTGTTGTCTGTTGTTTATGTTGTTTAACTTCATGCTTTTGACCAGAGTCTGGGATTTTTTTCCTCTTCTTCACCCTCCGGGTCATTCCTTTGACAGATGATAGGTCCTTCTTTTTACCTATTTCATTCGCAGAGAACACTGAGTTGATATGTTTGGCAACATGAGTGAAGGTCTCCCCAAATACTGTAGCAAAAGAGTTGATGTGAAATAAATCTGATCCAGACGTGTCATCACTGGAGTCAACAGTCTCTTGTTCTTTCTGTTTCTCTTTGGATTTCGAAGGGTGTGCTGGGCTGCTGCCTCTCGGTTTTTTCTGATTTGACCACTGACTAAACCTGCGCTTTTGTGACTGGTACTGATATTCAGGAACTGTTACAATAAAACTGCCATTTTCAGCAAACCCAACAACATGGCTCCTCTTATGGTAAATGTTAAAGTGTCTGGACAGCGGGTGACTTTTCAGCACAGGTGCATTAAAAATCCCAACTGGAGCTTTGGTTTTAAATGCCTCCTTTTTAGTAAATGAATAAAAACACAAACAACGGAGATGTCTTACTTCCCTAACAATTTCTTTAAAGAAGATTGAAGCATAACTTGAAAAGAGCTTTGTACTGTTAATAAATGTATAAAGCCTGAATGAGTTTGGACAAAGTGGCTGTCTAAAAAGGGCTTGGTCTTTTTTGAGACAGATCATTGTGTACATATTCCTGCATGATATTAAAGTCCTCTTAGTGACACCTGAACATAAGACAGAGAAAAATGGGTGACCCATTCTTGACTCAATGTTGTACGCAGCTCCCAGACTTGTTGTGGACACCTCTTCTCTGTTGCAACATAATCAATTGCTACCTAGAAAGAATCCATAACACAGTCTTTATGAATCCAACTGATCAATTATCTACATACATACATGTACAAAAAAATATCAGTAATGTCATTTACAAATGTTTGATTTACACACAGTGTCTTGCAAAAAATGCACTTTACTGAAAAAGCAAAGTGAAATGAAGGTAAAAAATTTTCCTCCAAAATTTGAATAGGGTTACCTTTATTTGGCATTTGGCATCATTCTCTGCTCTAACTTGTTTCCTAGAACTGCTTAATGGGACCTTTATTATGCATAAGTCCTCTGCAAAGAAATAGTCAAAATAAGCAATCTGACTACTTTGGCGAGTTACCTACTCCGATTATTTTTACAGTGACAGGGCAAAGGTGTGATCTAAATACTGTAATTATACATTAACCTTCACAGCAAATTTGATAAACAGATTTCCCTGAAAAATAAATCCTTTTTTTGTCTTAAATCCTAACTCCAGTAAGTTTCTGGGGACAAACAATTTGGGTAAACAAAACCTCACCAAAGAGCAACTTCAAATTTTTTACCTGTGGCAATTGCATGAAAAAATTTTGTTGTATGTGTTGATCCAGAGTTTGGGTGGGAGCGGTTCTGTTTGGGGACTGCTGGGGTTTTGGACCGGTTCAGTTAATTGTCATAAAATGAAGCTATGTCATGAAGTTATGTCATCATTCCTGGAAAATCTAGAATAAGCAAGGGAGAGAGTGTCTCTGAGCTGTTAGTCAGTACGTCACATCTCATCACACACAGAGTCAAATACACAATATATATCTCAAAAGATGGTCTAATGTATCGAGATTTAAAATGTTCTTCATTTGAATTACATCTTGAAATATTGACATCTTTTACTCTTTAAGAAAATATTGTTTACACGCACAGGTTCAAACTAAACATATAGTCTCATCACGTTTCGTTCTGGGTAAAAAAAAAAGTATAATCAAAACAATGAAAACTGAATGGCATCTGTTCTTTTTCCACAGCAGAAACAATTTGTAATTTGTGTAACCTTTCAGATGATGAACATGCGACACATTGGTGGTATTCATCTAACTTTACCTTTCAGGAATGTTTGAATGTTTGTATCTGCTTGAACATAATATTACTTACAAACAAAATGAAGTGTTAGGGGTTTGACATATCACAGCAAAGATTTGTCTCTTTTAAGTCTGCTCATAATAATGCAGACTTACAGCGGCATCTAGTGGCAGCCTCCTCACAGTCTTCTTATTTAGGCCTATTTGCTTTTGAAAAAAAAATTCAATCTGATTTTCTGGTATGACAGGAAATTGACTGCATTTTGCTTCAGTGACTTTCAGTCTTATCTCTGCACAATGCATTTACCAAAACAGAACAGTTGCTAACGCAGAACTCGTTTCCTGTCTGTCTTTCAAATTGCTTTATTGTCTGATCAGGCATCTTTTGCTGCTTAAAGGTTTTTTGTTGTTGTTGCTGAATGTTTTGTCATCCACCAGCCTGTTTTGCTGGAGGACACGTCTTTCTGAGTTGATGATGAGAATACGAGACTGAACTGCTGATCAGAAAATAGTGCTGTCACTCAAAACGAGCTCCATAGAACAGATTAAAACTTCATTCTAATTGCGCTAACACATGTAGCTATACAGCCAGCGAACAAACAATAGAACGAAAACTTGCTTTTCTTGAGAATCTTTTATAAATGGATTTTTGTAAATACAAAAGGCAAAAATACATCAATAGCTAATATTCTCATAATGTCACACTCAAAACGCTTTTGAAACTGAAATATAACAGCAATGAAACAATACATTACGAGCCAATACGCTCATTGTAATGCTACACTTAAAACGTTTTTATAACTGAAATACAACAGAAAGAAAAATACACTTCCAGAGGATACTTGTCTTAATGCTACACCCTATAATTAAGTACACTGCTCTACATTTTATCAACAACAAACAGCTAAGTGTCCTTCAAATACATAAATACTTACAAAGATGAAAGTTTTCCAGGGCACAGCGCGTATAAAGTACATTCAGAGTATTCATAAGTTGCTTACTTTCTCCTAAAGGCCTAAATTCGTGTTGACAAGGTTACCGGAGAAATATACGTCAAAGACAGTTTGCTGCTAAGAGCGCTCACTCGGTCTTGTTTCTAATGTAACGAAAATAGTTTTGATAGTCAAAGATAGTTTGTAAAACAAATGTCACACTATTATGCAATTTCAATCCCTTTCCTTTTTCTACTGTTAACATGAATTTACAAATAGCTAACTATGAAAGTGTACCAACTTATTAATGTAACTTATTTCCACTACAAACTTATTTAGAAAATCTGACTGAAATGGCACCGGATTGTTTTATGCTTAAATGTGTTCTTTTTTTTTTTTTGTTGTATTTTTTGTTTTCTACCAATTTGTTTGTTCCAGGTAACAAACTCTCTGAAATGTTGAGAATACAAGTTGAACAGAAAATAATGTCACTCAATATGAACTCCATAGAACAAATCTGAACTTTATTAGTTGTACTTTTGACATTAAATGTGAGAATTTTTTTTGGGAATCAGATAGGATCCGTATTGCTAATCAAAATGCAGCCTCGTCTAATTTCAGTTTTTGCTTTTCACCCCATTCTTGCTGCAGTTCAACCGTTTTCAAAGTATTTTTCATTGATCCGTACAAAATAAAAGGCATCAAGAACGACACAATTTATATGTATATGTATGAAAAAGCATAAAGTCTTTACCACACTTGCATTGAAGTATTTTAACAAGATTTTCCTGCAGCACAATATGCAACATATTCATATCAATAAATATACAATAGCTCATTTTATTACTGAAAAAAGTCAGGAGGAGTCAACTGATTTCTTTTCACAGCGTCCTGTTGTGCAGTCCTCTGCCCGTCCAGTCCACTTAAGTCGATTCCTTGCAAAGATGGCGTATGACTTATCCATAAACGGCCTTACCGGTGACCACATCATAAAGCGGCCCAACCAGCCGAGCCCAACGGCGCCATACATCACTGCAAACGCTGGAACGCCGCGATGCACCTGACAATGCGAAAAGTAAAGATGTAAGTGCGTTTTAGCATTCGGATTCTTTAAGTCTCAGTTAAGTTGTTGTGTTAAGAGTTAACCTCGTCTTTCTCATCGATTACAGTCATCTCCTCCATGGCCATCTCATAGGTGACATCATTGTATTTTGTCCCCTCGTAGCCTGGCTTAGAGATGTCAATAAAATGAACTTTGCCCGGTCGGTTTCTTTGCAGGTACTGAAGGAAGCGGATCTCTGTCATGCATATGGGACACAACCCATCATACAATACCTGGAGTAGAATAGAGATTAACACACTTTAATCTGTGGCATTTTACTCATTCACAACAACAACAACAAAAATCAAGCACAAGCAAATGAAAAACATACTGCATTAACTAGAACACATTCAGTATTTACCTAAAAATGTGGTGAATAGGACTTACTACTAACCAAAGTATGAATATTATATCTTCAAACGATGTGTTATAATTGTTATAATTTGGCAAGTACAAGGATGTTGACAAGAAAATCCAAAACCTTCAGCTGTAGTTGGTTGTGCCTGGTATGTAGCGGTAAGTAGCTTTAGAAAATTGCTTATGGAAGGAAAAGTGTGAGCTGATGACAGTGTCAATGATGCACATGGGGAGTGAATGCTGGTCTCTGTTATCAAACCCAAAAATGTTATATTGTTTCTGATAAAATGTTATCAGAATTAAGAAAGATGATTCTTGTATATGAGTGGGATTATTTTCTAATGTTGATAATGCAAATGAACCGTATCAATCAGAGGAGCAATGGTGGCCTATTTCTTGATATACAAGAGAAACATTTGATATTTTTGGAGGGCAGGGAAACAGAAAGTTATCAAAATACACAGTGCGTCACAGTATGGGACTGAAAACCCCCCAATAATTTTATTATTGTGCCTAATATTTTTCATGAGTGATAATTTTCTTCATAACAACAATAATGAGCTTTTATTTATTATTTTCAATGTGAAATCAGGAACTGAGCTTCAGTTTCCCAGAGATGTCAAGAATAATGAAACAGGCTTGTCTCACCCGGACACCTGCAGGTTCGGAGTTGAGGTTCCTCCGCTGGTGTCGACAGAACCCAGGCGTCACCAGTTTCACCGTCGGATTTATACAACTGGAGAGTCTGACTGAAGCCAAACCCACTCTAACTTTACAAAACATAACTAACAAAACCACGCGAATAAGACACTGTTGAAGATTTAACAAAGCAGCCGAATGTGGCTGATGCTATTAGAAGGTTCCTGAACTTCGGGGACGTAAACGTCTGAGAATGGAAGAAAAACCAAAAAATAGTTACAGTGTTTCTATTCCACATACCAAGGATGAACACATAACAGCGGAGCTTCTCTTCTTCTTGAGTTAGGTCAAACAACAGCGCCACCTTCTGGATTTGTACTGATCTTGGAACTTGGAACCATCAGTAATGCGCTTTATTTGCAAATCGTTCAATTTTCGGAAAAGAAAAGAAAAAACAACAACTTTTATATCGAGTACAGTAATGTATGTATATATATATGCATGAACAACTATGAACAACTTCTTCAAATTCTATGGCTGTATTATTTCTGGGTATTTAAGTAAGACATTTATTTTAGAAACAGAACCTCATGTTAAGGTCAAATATGAAAGAAGCTTTAAAGATATCTGCAACAAATAGAGGGGGTCATCGTGTCTCCACAGGAACTTCTTGGTGACAGCATGTTTGGGAGTTGTGCCAGAAAAAAAACATTTATACCAGAAGACCTGTGCTTCTTTTTCTCTGACAAAGGCCCTGAAAATCTTCAGAGAAAGTCTTCTAGAAGATTGGGGGATTGTGCAAAGAGGAAAGATCAAAGATCCCTCTCTGTGTGGACTAACCTTGTAATATAGAAAAAAGTCAAAGTGACGCATCTCATGCAAGAGGGAGTGAACAGAGTTTTGCTACCTGGGTTAATAAAACATTTGTCACATGTGGCTTTCCTGAGATACTTTCCCTGCTGAAAGAATGCCTTTTTCTAAAATGTTTAGTGTGACTTTATGCTCTTGCAAAAATTCAAAATTTTTTTTTCTGGAGGCATGTTCTTAAATTGCATGGTTTCTAAAATCTTAAAACTCGAGAAAATTTTTGTTTCAGTGCCGTTTTATACTTGGCTGTTTAAATCAAATATTTCATTATTTTTATGGGTTCTATATGCAAATAAATGATGTGTTAAAACAGCTGTTAACCATCATCTGCGAACCAACACCACAAAACGTACACAAAGATCTATCAGGCATGAACTGATGTGATAAAAAAACACATTCTGTAACTTTTAAAGGAAATGATGAAAATCTTATAACTCTCCACTTGATCTTTAGTTACTTGCTGAGGTTTTTTTTTTTGAGCTCCATGCCTCAGGAAGGGGCTAATGCTTTTGTTGTGAACAGCCACTTGCCTTTTTGGTGGATGAGATGTGATGAGATCAAAGTACCTGCAGCCGGGTGCTGAGGGACGAATCTAGTTTCACATGCTGCTCAGAATAGTTTTAAGGACCTCACAGAGGTGAGGAAAACAATCTGTTTATTAAAACTGGCTCAGAATGTCTTTAGAAATTTACAGTTGCTTGTTTTCTGTGCACGTCTTATTATCTGTTTCCACTTTCCAGTCTGAGGACTAAACAGGCCACCTGCAGTAGCAACCAATCTGGGCTACACGCCACCAGATGGAGGCTGGGGATGGGCTGTCATCTTTGCTGCTTTCATCTCCATAGGGTTCTCTTATGCCTTTCCCAAGTCCCTCACTACCTATTTCAAGAAAATTCAGGAATATTTTTCAGTTTCCTGCTGTGAGATTGCCTGGGTGTCCTCAGTCATGCTGGCATCTATGTATGCAGGAGGTCAGCGGCCGCCATCACTGATAAAATTTGTTCGACTGGTACTAGTGTGCTTAAACAGCTACATGTTAACAAAGCTTTTTATGTTTTATTTGTCATTGAAAGAAGAGGTGAAGACTGAATGAAGAAAAAATGGTCAGTGGACTCATGGTGTGTGTTGACATGGTTCATAATTCATCTGCACCTCTGTGTCAGAGTAATTAGAGGTGAATACTTTTTTTCTTTTCTTTTCTTGAGTAATACTTAATGTTGACTTATTTTGTTACTTTTTGCATAACAAATGTCACCTTATTGAACAGTTAAGTTTTAGTATTGAAAGGTTTGCTGTAAGTTGCTCAGTTACAACTGGCTTTGTTTCAGTCTATTTTCTTTCAATGTGAGGTCACTGGCACTTGTTCAGTGGAATATATTAATGTTTGCCAAAATTGCTGCAAAATAAGTGTGTCTTCAGAGTCTTGGCAAAAGTATTTGCATTGCAATTTGATGTGACAGACCCAAACTAGAACATATTCATAAAGTGGAAGGGAAAGGACACATTGCTGTATAAATTCTTCACATGAATATTTGAAAAATGTGTAATGCATATGTATTCAGCTCCTTTGAGTCAACGCTTAACTACCTGCAAGTGCAGCAATTACAGATCACATCTAGCAATAACATATTTTGTGTGTTTTTCTTCACCTCAAGCTCAGTTAGATTGGATGAAGATCAGTGGTACTCATCAATATTAATTTCTCTGATTCTCAACCTCACTCTCTAGACTTTGACTGCTTCATTTTACTCTGTTGAAAGCATTTTAACATTATTTTGGGTTCATTTAGGGTTGTCCTGTCAACTCATTTTGCATTCCTAACAGGTTTTCAACCAGCATTGCCAAGATACAGCTACCTTTAACACTTACCTCATTTATCTTATTCCTAATGCCCATGGGTGAAGGAGGATCCTTCATGGGTTACCAGCTTCCCATGGGTCACATCAGTGTTTGTTGATGGCCAAACAGGAAGTTTATATCATTCTGCTGTTGTTCGGGCTGCTTACTTGTAGTTGTTGCTCTGCCAGAAAGGTAGCTTTGAATCTCTATCATCCATATCATCTTCAAACGTGGAGACTAAAAGTTTGACGACTCATTAGAGGGATTTGATCATAAAAACAGCCCATTTCCACCAACAAATCATAATTACTGACCAAACAGAAGAGATTTTTGGAGTTTTGCTAGATGTCAGTGGTTGTGATGAAGGATGTCACACATTGGTGTACATCTGATATTTCTACATTTTTGCCATACATACATTTTGAAATGTTGTATGGTGTTCAGTAGGATGCTTCAACCTAAACATATTATTATATCTCCTAATCTCCCTTTAAACCTCTCCACAACATTATCCCTGCCTGCTGTGTTCCTTTGTATTCATTTGATAAACAATGTTTTCATTGAACAGGTAGATTTTAACTGTGATTAAATTGAATACTCAATCTGTTTTCTAAGTGACTTCTAAAATGAATTATGTACATTAGATTTTATTTAGAGAATTTAAATTGAAAAGGACATAACACAATTGTACAATCTTTATGATAATTATTGATAAGAAAGATCTAAAAACCTGTATTTCTATTATTCTACTTCCCAAGCATTTTTCTTCCTTTCAAAAGGTTTTGGTCTTGTCTTCAACCTGCAGTCAGCTCTGACAAACATCGACACTTACTTTCAGGTCAAAAGGCCACTTGCAAATGGACTCCAGTTGTTTCTTTCCGCTCTGGCCCCTCTCAATCAGTTCCTTTTATATTCCTTTGGTTGGAGAGGGAGTTTCCTCATCCTGGGGTCCATTGTTCTGAACTGCTGTGTGGCTGGTGCTTTGATGAGACCAATTAATAAACAAGCCTGATCCCAGTCCAATAATGACTCATCAGTGAGCAGGAGGAAAACCTCTGAAGAAGCTGCTGCTATTAGCTCATTTTCTGCTAACCCTCCAGCCAAAGACAGTAAAAGCAAAATAAAAAGTCAGAGCTTTGTTTACAGATATATAGACATCTCCCTTTGCACACACAGAGAATGTCTCATTTATCTTATTGGTAATGTCATGCTTTTTGACTCTTGCTACTGTTATGTTTCTGGCTCCTTATGGTAAGTATCAAGGGACAGATGAATATTCTGCACCTTTGTTACTTCTTACTTTTGCTTTGATGGACATTTTTAACGGACCAGTTTCTGGATTCTTAGCCAACAGCAGGTGGATTAGACCAAGAATACAATCTTTTTTCATTTTTGATGTTTCATACAATGACGTTTGCCACCTACTTTGTCCACTGGCATCTGGTTAAGGAGGTCTGGTTGTTTATGTGGTCTTCTTTGGGCTGGCAATTGAAATGCTTTCTGCACTATTTTTTGAAGTTCTGATGGACCTTGTTGGAGCTCATTGCTTCTCCAGTTCAGTTGGACTTGTCAGAAACATCAAGTGTGGACCAGTGCTTCTTGGACCCCACATTTCAAGTTTGTGAGCAATGTTCATAAAGTACAATTTTTGCAGAAGCATAAGTTGACTCTTCAGCTCTTTATTCTGTCTTTCAGGGGCTCTGGTGGATGTTTTCGGGGAATACAAATACATGTGCTATGCCTCATGCTCATGCTGGTGCATGACTACAACTACAATTACTTCTTGTAGTTGCAATCATGCATTATTACCACTACAAGACGCTAGATGAGGATTGCAGGCAGAACGTAGCAGTGGAAATAAGGACATCTGAAGAGTCAGTGAAACTTAAAATAAACCAGAATGAGAAAGCAAGCAATGAAACACAAGATTAAGGTTTTTGACTCACAGTTCTAGATCAGAAACATGGAATTCCATATGTATTACTTTTTTTTTAATAAAGTTATTTTTCTGGAAATTATGAGCAAATGTTTTTGATTCTTTTAATCCTTTGAATGAATTAATATTCCCACATTTAGTTGTCTCAGGTGTAATTTTCTACAGTTACTTTCAAAAATATTCTTACACATTGAAAATCTTCAGTTGCAATAAGACAAAATGTGAAAAAGTTTAGTTATTTATTTATGCTGTAATAATTTTAGGTAACAGACCTACATAAAATAGAGCAAATAGGCTTTCTTTTGAAAAGAAAATGATGCACAATTTAAGTTGAGACTCGTATGTTGGATGGGAAATGTCACAGAACATCATGTCTTACATATTCCCCAGACAGAATTTAACTTGTTTGATTAAATATGTTTCAGACACCCATATTTGTTTGTGAGATATTTAAAGTTTGGGGTTATTTCAGCACACAACAGTTGCTTTAATTCTAATTGGCAATTGAGACTTCCAAAAGTAACTGTTTTTTTTATTTATTGTTATGTATTATGGAGCTAATAACAAATGCATGCATCAGTTTTCCTACATTTATTTATCAAAAAAAAAAGAAAACCATGTTTCATTTTTGCTTTATTTTATGCATCACTCAGTGTCTTGGTCTATGACATAAAGGTTTA